ACATACAAAAACAAAAAGTGTTGCTTAATTGCTAACTGACAGTTGGCTAAAGCAGCGACAAAGAGTAATGATAGATAAGAATACAACACTGAAAAAAGCTCGTAAACTTCGATCTAACTCAATAAAGTAGAATGAAATTGGAATAAGGACTTTGTTACAATTCCCATATTCCATTTCTTCAAAACTTGTGAGTTAAATAGATGATGTTTACAAGTGACATAGCATATGGCACAAGAAGATTGCTGATGAGGAGCCGTAGCGGGCCCGAAAATGCATTCCATTCTGCTGTTGTGTCCGAAAAATTAAATTTTCAGTATTCTTATAATTAAAAATATCATTACAATTTGGAAAATAACTTATCCCCAAGTGGGACTCGAACTCGAGCCTGAAGAATATTCAATTAATAATATTAATATCACAGTTCGAAAAAATTTTTATTTAAATTAAAAAATTAAACTCATTGGAATAAAACCTTATAAGACCAAAATGTCCATCTTTGACCCCTTCTAAGTCCGGCAGTCACTTGACATGAAATTCTCCATGTATATATTAGTATTTTATAGAAACATATTTGTGTTATTTTGTTGATAGCTAGGGGATCGATATTGATACTTCATAGTATAATTCATCAAAATATGTAATTTTATAATTTTAAATTTCCTTTTCAAATTAACCATTTCCATTCGCTTTTGCATTTGCAAAAAATCGGTGTTGTTGCAAAATTCAAATGAAAATTGTGATTTACCAGAACTAAAAATCGATTCTGATTTGAATTGGTGTCATGAAATCGACTTGATTTTCCTTTAATTCGAAAATTAGCGAATCCCATATTCGAATCAGATGTTCTGTTTTGTTTAGATTCTAAACTAGCATACGCCGCCGTTCTTCGCTACCCTCATCATACTGTAGATTTTCCTTCACTCAAGACGCGGTTTAATTAATGTTTTGTTTTTTCTTTTTTTTTTAAATGATGGAGGAAACAAATAGTGAAAAAGTGAAACTAAAAATATTGAGGAATCAGCGTAAGCCGCAATGATATATTAAAATTTACCCACTTTAAGGATTTTTTGATCGATTTCGTCTGAATAAAAAAGCTTTTCGAATGTTGTTGAAGTTTTTTTTTGAAGCTATTTCTATCCTTTCTCCTATTTGTGTTATAGAAAAAATAAGAACATCTTTGTTTTTTATATTTATAAAAATTAATTCAACTTACATTTTGTTCCAATTCCATTTAAACACATAAAACAAAACAAACAAAATACAAATTTGACACATACTAACTGATCAGATTATTTCTGACAAAAAAAAACGATAAAAACATATTCTGTGACACGAAATTCCGACAACAATTCTGATTCGAACATAAAACCGATAACATCTATTTCTGTGACACCAATATCCCTTTCCGTGGTTTTGTCAAATATATTCGACATTACAATAGACTCTGTTTTTAAGCATTTTTTGGGTATAATATTTAACTTTAGTTTAAATTTTTTTCTTTTAGATGAAAATGAAGACTTTATTATATTTATAATTGAGATTTTGAAAGATCTTCCGTATTTTAAAAGTATTTAAAAATCAGATTTTAAGAAATTGTCACTTATGACTACTTTTTAAAAAGTGCTTTTTAACAACGTTTAAAAAACAGCTTAATTTATGGCCAAAAAAATTGTATTTTAGGAGATCGGACTATGCAGATTTAAATTGTATTGTATTGAAAGAAGTTTAAGAAGACATTTTACAAAAAAAAAATTCATAAAAAATATTGGTGGTACTTTTTGGAGACTGTTTTTCGAATGTCGAATATATTCGACATTTAACTTTGACCTTCTATAACTCACTAGGGAAAACTCAAATTCAAAAAATATTATTTTTCCCGAATTCAGCATACTCAAATTATATTAAATATAAGTTTTCAAGTTTTTTTCTAGACATAAATTATTTTTGACCCTGAAAGGGATATAAACTTTTTGTCGATTTCAAATTCTGACCTCAACCAGATTCCACAACAACATTGAATAAAATTTGTTATTCGCTTTCTCTAAACTGGGATTCACAACATCCCTGTCTTATTCGTATCTTTAAGAGCGTATCCCACGTACAATAAAAAAGGAACTCAAAAAATAAATGAATAGTAGTATATTGTGTTTTATTTAAGGGGACGAAATACTTTAATAAAAAAGTCATACTTTTCTCAAAAAAACTTTTATATGATTTTAAAAAATTGGTAGGTTTCAAACGATTTGGTCAGTTGCAACGCTGCCACCGATTTTAAGATAATCCTGTCTGTTCTGTAAACCGAATCCGTGTAAATTTGTCATTAAAAAACGAGTTCTCAAATTCTTTCTCGTTTTAAAACCGAGTACACAAATCTAGTCGAAAGTAAATCGAATTTAATTTTATTCTAATAAATTAAATAATTATTTTTTGCGTTTTTTAATACAATTGTAACTTAATATAAATGCTGTGTCCATTTTAAACTCTTTTTCATTAAATACGTTTTTTTTCTGAATTTTACGTTCAAATAAAAATTCAATTTGCAGAACACCAAATTCGATTTTAAAAGCTTCTCGGTTTTGAAAACGAATCGATTTACAGAACAGTCATGAATATTTGAAAGAAGTAACGATTTTTGTGCACATTCACGCAAAGCGTGTCCCTCTAGCTTAAAAATTTAGTCAAAAATTGCGATATTTTCGTATATGAATGAGTAATGAATAAAATTTTTTACTGGAACTCCTGGTAAGAGTCACTATACATGCTTTTAGTTAGACATTTTTATATTTCATACTTTTTGGCGCAAAATATAAAAAAAAATCTAAAACTAAATTTTCGCCATTTTTGCGAATAAGGAACTTTTGAAGTAGAAAATTAAAAAAATATTATATACCTCTAAATATAATATTACACTGTGCAACAAAAAAATCTTTTCTGAATGAGTTTTTAATTTATATGCATTTAAAGTTTTGCAACTTTGTGAACAATTTGACCATATATGTATTTTATATGTATGTAATCCAATGAAGTAAGGCAATATATAAATTTCTCAATTATATTTAACTATTTAAGGTCTAAGATATTTACATTTATTAATGTTTATACTTTGTGGGCTTTAATTTCCTTTCTATTTTAATAGTTGTTAGTAGATACTCAACTAGAAATTTTCAAATTTTATTTGATTTATCAAAAAATAAAAGTAAAAATTTTAAAATTTGTAAATATTGATTAGTTTACTGAAATTAGATTTTCTATGGATTCCTTCATGGTCCAACTTTGATTTTTTTATATGTTGTTGTTGATATTATAAGCTAATTTTACTAAAGGAATAATGAAAATGTGAGATACCGTTATCCTTGACTCAAGGACATTTTTTGATATTATTATCCTTATTTTATAACCATAATATTTGAAATAAAATATTGTGAAATTACGACACATAGGCATTAATTACAGTCTAAAATGATTAAAATCGGATATATATGTTAGAATATAAGTATACAATATCAAGTTAATCCTTTTTAGAATTTTGGAAATTTTGGAGAACTAAATTTTGTATGTATGAAAAGAATATGTGTACCAAATTCCATCAAAATCAGAGAGGGTCTGAAAAAAGTTTGGTTTAAAATGCTAAAACCCTTTGGTGAATTGGATCTATTAATTGTCTGCTTTCATTTGCTCTAGTTTTCATCAGGTGTATAAAAGGGTACGTCGATTTCCTGGTAAAATTGTGTAAAAATTAAGAAAAAAAAATTGTACCCACGTTTTTACCACCATATAACCAGTGGGTGATGGCACACGAATTTATCATAACTCTTATGATAAATTTGAGTCATATACAGAAAGATATCTAAGTATGCGGCTACACAAATTTTTGGTTTGTCACAAGCATTTTTTTTTTGAGAAATTTTAACTTTGACTGCTCATAGCTTTTAAATCTAAAAACACTTAAAATATCGACTTCGCGAAAATTATGAGCCAAAGTGTCATAAATTCAAATATGTACAAATTATCTTATTAAATTCACCAAAAAAGGATATAAGTCAGTTTTGTTGAGTTAAACATTTTTCTGTATTCAACCATATAAATATGTATATTCCAGGTCCTTGTGAGATTCTGAGTCTATTTAGATATGTCTTTCTCTGTGTCAGCCTAAAATACGTTCACGTTAAAACTAAGCAAAGTAAATCAACCAAAGTTTGGTATTGAAAATCAGCGTAAAATGTTATGAATAAAACGTAAAATGCTATGAATAAAAATTTCAGACCACCTCGAAAAAAATTACGTTTTTTTCCTAATTCTCGAGCGGTTTTCTCAGAAAGTACCGAAAATAATTCGATGAATTTTGTAAATGCACATGTAAATGTATTTTATTACTGAATGTAATGTAAACAACAACATACAACAAAGCAAGCGTAAAAAACAAGTAGATTTTTAGGATAAATTGTGTTAATATTTTAAACTAAATTTTTTTTATAATAAAATGAAATTATAAAGTGCTATAAACCAATGTAAATCTTACAATAATTAAGCTTTTACGGATATACATATTAAGTACGTTAGCTAAATATAGCTAGCACAATACCGGGGAGAAAAACCCGTTTGGAATTCCATCTTTTGAAATCGTATGTCCTTTAAACTTTAAAGTCCTTTTACAGGAGCATAGGAGCTGATTATGAAAAACTGAGTACACAGAGTTAATACTAATGGTCCGCAGTTTCCTGTACACATAGATTTTTTATGTGTGAAAATGACTGTTGCACGGTGTTATTTGTATACCACTGAGTGACAGGAATAAATTATCAACTTTGCTCCTTATAAACAGTGACAAGTTTAAGCAATAATCAAAATATGATTTTAATAGATGATTTGACGTGTTAGCTATAATTTACTATCAGCAATTTATCAGAATTAAAAAAAATGAAATAATTTTTGGCCGAAATTGACTACCGTGCATTGGTACGAATCACTACAATTCAGTTAAATTTGTTTTTATATTGCAGTTGTTGCCTTAAGCAAGGAAAATTTGTCTCGAATGGTTCAAGATGTAATACGAATTTTGGTTTATCAATTTGATGGAACATTCGATAAAAATAGTAATCATGGCCACGAAATAAATTTTAAGAGGTCATGGGTTATTTTGCACCGTCTTATTTTAAGGTAACATTTTATTATATAAATATATATATATATATATACTTAATATTTAAACCGTATACATTTTTTCTTATACATAGAGAGGAAAATGATAGCCCTAATACACTCAACGCTAAAACTGATGACATACAAGACGTAAATGAGTTAATTCCAAAATCATTTTTAATTTTATTTACTGCTCATGAATACTTGGGAAAGCGCCAGTGGTGTACTAACGACAATGGAGAATTTCTACAATACATATTAGATGCTGTTGTGCTTAATTTAAAAGCTCCCGTTTATGATGTTTGTCGAGATGTCATATACGAATATCTTGAACAGGTATGATTATGAATTACACTGTAAGAATTACACACAAAGAAATAATTTTGTGTCGTATAATTTAGTGTTATACTACGCTTTGTCAAAATAATGAGGTATTGATCTTTGAAGTTTGCACTGTATGTGTTGCGATATTTAAGGGTAAATACTTCAAAGGATCACTAAATTTGTTGTTTCTAAATACTAAAACCCCAAAAACTCTTAACCCACAATATAAATAATTTTTTTTTTATTTTTTCACTTTAACGTTACAAATAGTTTTACAATAACAGTTTTACAATGTTAGTTTTACAAAAATAATTTAAAATTAAAACATAAAGAAAAATAACGGCATCGTTGATATATAAAAATGTTCGCCGGATTTGGTTAGTTTATTAATAGTACATAATTTGATTTACATTATTAATAATTAAATTAGTTTATTAACATTTTCCTAAAGCTCAAGGCCATTTAAATATAAATACATATAAACATATATTTAGAAAACCTATATCTTCATCCTCATTCAATAAACATACATACTTTCTCATTTTCCGACAATACCTTGAAAGTGTTGTATATTTTCCCTTTCAATTAAATTACATAGTGAGCATATATAATTGAAGCATGGAGCCGAATAAGGGCGCATAAACCATTTGGGAAATTATACAGAAGAGCATAAAAACATCATAAAACCTTTAAATTATATTTAAAAATTGAGAAACTTTTTAAATATGTCCTCACATATCATTCATAGCTATCCCTCTGAAAAATTTCAGTAAAAAATTAAAATCACAACTTGCAAAAATCGACACTTGAAATTTTGCTAAAATGAAATAAGGGCATATATCCATATATTTTTGTTGAATATGTTCTGTAATAAATGATTTTTCATGTACTTATTATTAACTAAATAGGATAACACTTGGACAGCATCATCGTAAGAGACCATAGTATAATTTGCTTAAGTTTCAAGGAGGACCTTGATTATCCTTTAATATTAAATCACTATTTTGCTATTTTTATACCTTAAATTTCCAATATTTTTGAGTTAGAGGTCTGGACAATGTCAACTATAGTTATTATTATTACTTCAATGCCTTATAAGGACGAAAACCTTCTTAACTTAAAACTATTTAACAAATCAAAAATTGTCTTGTTAATATATACTTATTTATGGATATATGCCCTCTTTGTTGTCCATCCCAGCAAAATCTTTGCTTACAATGATTACCATTAAGTACTTTATTAATGGCTCACTTTGTATGTAAAGTCTAAAAAAAATCATAATAAAGAAACAAACAAACATAAAACAGTTACTTTTTCTTTTTTTCCTTTTTTTGTGCACACGATATCAAATATCTATTTTTAGACAAACAGAAAATAAAATAGTATTTGTGTGTGAAAACTATTATTTGACGCACAAAAAACAGCTAAGCAGTGGTGTAGTGAGTGGAGCATCCAACTGGCAGACGGAAGGTATTGAGTTCAACCCCAGTCTGTGTCGACTTTTTATTTTTATTTTTTCATAAATATTCTATAAATAACTCTACTAAAAAAACAAGTTATTTCCAACCAAATAATATTGACTTACTTTTGGAACATCTCAAACAAAAATAAGTACTTTTTCTAGTAGAATTGTAAGCACTTTACTCGATGAATTCTGGAGAATTTGTAAGCAAATATTTTGCTGGGATATTACGATTAATATTAAAATAATATTTTTTTGCAATATATTTAAGGAATTCATGGAATTGAAATGTGTTCTTCCTATTCTGTAAATTTGATGCAATTATAATAATTATTTATACGACTTTTAACAAAAATTACTTGATGATTCTGATATTTTTTTACCTTAAATAAAAAATAATATTACAAAAACGTGCTATTAAAGCTAAATATTTTGGCGAAAACTTTGGATTTTTCAATTTATATCTACACGAATAGATGTAAATAGACCAGATGAACACTAACCATCGAAAAACGCGATTTGGGAAAAGTGGTATTTACGCCCTTCGCATCCATGCTTCAATTGTTGTTTTGGTAGTACAGATGTATATTTAAATATAAGATGTCTGAAAATCTCAGTTTCCATTTGGCTTTTAAACGTATTTCCTTTTTTCCAATAAATGTCTTCCATGTTGTATTTAAGCTATTCTTTGCAGCATAATTTCTAACCGCGACGTGCTGCTTAAAGATCATTTTCTATATTTTAAGAGTTAATAGGTATTAGTTCAATTATGTACGTATGTATAATGAATCTATTACACCGTGATACAATTTATAATTTTTTTTATTTGACTTGAACGAGACCATATAAACATGATACTAGAGGTTATTTAAAGTGAAACTGCGTTTTCAGTTTTTCACTTTGTGATCTTTTCTCCTTTTTAAAGGACTTTAAAGTTGTAAGGATATTAAAATTTATTAAAATATATTTATTCATTCAATTATTCGAGTTTTTATATTATTCGGTTTATTCGACAAATAATTATTTTTTATGTTAGCCGGTTAATAATCGGATAATTCAAAATTATTCGGTTAACCGAATAAATAAAAAGAAGGAAACTGGATCTTTCTTACGGCTCACAGTGGGGCAGAATGGAAATTTTTTGGAAATAAATCTGGCATTTCTAAACGGCTGATCCGATCGGGATAAAATTTGGCGTGAGCGTAGCCAAGGAGCATTCGAGTTTAAATTTTGAAGATGAACCCTGCAGATGCCCCAGGGACGGGGCTGTGGCGGCTCAAAGTAGGGTACCTACGACATGTAAAATTTTTAAACTCGTGCCATTTTTTTGTTTTTCACCCAAATACAAAGATTTTTATATTTTGTGAAAGCGCTCGACGAGATCTTGAAAAAACATGCTTGGACATACTACTTATCTCTTATAATATCCGAGTTATAGGCATTTAAAAATTTTGTGATACAAAATTTACCATACCTTGGTCCGCCTTTTTTTGAATACCGGGCGTAATTTTGGACCAAATGGACTCAATTTTTTTCTTGTTAGTTAGACAACAAAATTTCCAATAATATACAAAAAATTCCAGATCAATATCATTTACAGATCCAAAAATATACGTTTTTTAATTTAAAAATTCAAAAAATTTTAGATTTTTGCCGTTTTTTTTGCTAAAAATGTGTCCTAACTCTTTTATTAATAAAATAAAATTTTCTTTAAGAACATATAACAATTTTATAGTTTTCTAAAAGGTATCTTTACGCAGAACGCTTTGGCGTAAAAAACTTGTCCTATTTTTTGAAAATGTTGCCAATGTGTCCTTCCGAATATGACCTATTTTTTATCAAAACTTCAACTTTGGGCGACATGTTCTAAAATCCCAAAGCTGGGATCAGAAAACTGAAAGCAGTTTTGGAAACCTCAATATGTTTTCTATTTGCTCCAAAAGTATTTTCCCAGCCCTGAAAGAAATGTGGACCCTATGGGCAAAAAAGTAAAAAATCCCATTTTTGGGATTTTCATTCCTATTTTTGGGAATTGCGGGATGCCCTTTGACCTTTTCAATTTTTTTTGCATTTTCTTATTTGAAATGACAAATTTAACAAGCGTTGAAAATTTCATTGAGTTTTGTTCATAAATAAAGATTTTGTCATATATTACATATTTGTTTAATTTCTAAAACTATGATTTATATCAAAATTTTAATAGGGTCGCAGATAGCTACAACAATTTAGTCCATATTTATCTCTTAATATCATTTTTTAGTTAGATATCGAAATTCTCGACAAAAAATTTCAAGCCAATATCTCAATTACATTCAAAAATATGTTCATTTAAACCTGTGTCCTTTAATTTCATCTTTTTCATATTTTAGTATTAGTTAGTTAGTTTGAGAGGAGGATGTATATCCATCAAATCCGAAGAAATACACCACCAGTGCCTCAGGTGGGAATCGAACCCACCACCTCCGGTCTACCAGACTAGAACACTAACCACTAACCTACCGGAGGCCACATTTTAGTATTAAGTATGACAGAACATATTTAAATCTTATATTTACCTATTTTCTATTTGTTTGCTTATCCTTATAATTGAAAGGTCCTATTATGCTTAAATTTTCAGAAATTTATAACTATTTTTTACCTACATTTTTTCGACAGATCATTTCGTTCTGTTGCGTTTATGATCATGTAGGTAAAAATATACAGGTAATGATAATTTCGATTCATTCACTAATAAGAAATATCAATGACTGAATTACAGGTTATAGTAATATAGTCCTAAATGTTAATAGGTAGACAATTGAAGCATGGATGCGAATAAGGGCGTAAAGACCACCTTTTCAAAATCGCGTTTTTTCGCATAATTATATTAAACTAACCTTTTTACATTTATTCATAAAAAAATAAATTGAAAAATATAAATTTTTCGCTAAAATAGATAGTTTTAAAAGCACGATTTTTAAATACTATTTATTTTTTTGGGTAAAAAATATTAGCAATTTAATGTATTTTTCTGTAAAAAATCGTATAAATTTTAATTCTAATTGCACCAAATTTGCAGAATGGTTGGAAAACATTTCAAATTTATTAATTTTTTAATTATATTGCAAAAAAGATTATTATTGAATGAATTATTTAAGTATGAAAGTGTGGACAAGAAGAAGGGCGTATATCCATAACTATAGTTATATTTTAAAAAATTATTATATCTTGTTATTTTCGAATTATTTTAGTTAAAGAGGTCCTATCCAATTTGATAATGAACTAAGATAATAATGTGGTTCGCTGTCCAAGTTTTATATAATAAAATAATTAAGAAGTATATAAAAATAACATTTATTTATATATACTTTCAACTAAAATATATGGATATATGCCCTTATTCCATTTTAGCAAAATTTCAAGTATTAATTTTGGCAAGTTGTGACTCGAATTTTTTACTGAGTTTTAGCATAGGGATAGATGTGAGTTATATTTATGCATATATGTGAAAAAAGTAGGAAAAAATGCCGATTTTAAAGTTTTATGATGTTTTTATCGTCTCCTGTAAAAT